TATTTTTATTATGAAATTTATATTATTAATTAATTAAATATTAAAATCCTAATAAGAAATAATATTACTATTTTAAAAAAATAAATTATCAATTTCAATAATAGAATTTTGATTTTATTTTAATATATAAATTTGTAAATTAAAATTATAATATAATTAAAAAAGATTAAAAGAAAATTCCTAATTTATATAAAGAATAAAGTTATTATTCCATTTCAATTATAAGTTTTTATAATTATTATTAATAGAAAGAATAATAAATTATTTTTTTTCAATTTATAATATATTTTATAAGCTATTATATCAAAAAAACTTTATATTCTTTATATATTTAATATTTAATGAATTTAATATAATTATAATCAAAAATTTTATAAATAAAGAAATAATAATATATAAGAATTTGAAACTTAAAGATATTATAGATTTTGATATTCAAGTAATAATAGTTATAAATAAAATTAATATTTATTATTTAATTTAAATATTAATTATTATTTTTATATTCAAAAAATACCTTTTGATTAAAGAATTACTTATAACTATAATAGTTATAATCTTATAAATAATTAATAATATAAATAATATTCTAGAATAAATAAGGATTAATAATTCAGAAATTATTAAGTATAAGATTAACCTATTAAATGAAATTATGATTTATAAAAATGAAATATAAAGAGAATAGTTAAAGGAATTAATTGAAATCAATATTATAATTTGAAAAAATTAAAAAGGTTTTATAAATATATCAAAAAGCAAAGAAATAAAGATTGATTTATATAAGAATTGAAAAGAAAAGTTTAAATCGAAAAAAGCAAAAATATATTCTATAAATTAAAAAGATTAGATTCTTATAAACAAAACCTATAATAAGCTTTATAAGTAAAATCGCTTCAAATAAATAATAAAATCAATTTCATTTAGTTTTTTAGTTTTTTATATATAAAAGAAAATAATTAATAATAAAGGAGTTATATTAAAAAAAACAGAATAATTATAGATATCCATATATTAAATTAGATTGTAATTCCTAATATATATTCAATTTCTATATAAATCAATATTATTATAATTGTAACTAGATATTCTTTTATTTTCATTATTGATTATACTAACTTTTTCTATTAATAATATATTAAAAAGGAATATCAGAAATATTTAATTATATTATTTTATTATAATCAAAAAATATTTATTTATATAATAATAGAATTCAGAAATTCTCTAATTTATATTTAGAAATATATTAATACTATTTTTAAAACAAAAAGAGATTTTGTATAAACTTATATTAATAATATTATTATTTTTAATTATATATTTAAAAAGTATTTGATATATTTTTAATAAGTTTTTCTATAATTCAAAAATATAAATATTATCTTAAATTCTAAAAAGTATTATTTAGTTTATTTATTTATTATTTTATTTAATCAAAAGATAAATACTTTTAGGCTTATATTTATATAAAATAAGCTTTTTATTATTCAAATTTTAGTTTTTCCTTGATTTTTAAAGTAATTCGAATATTACCTTGATTTGATTAATTACTTACAATAATATATACCTTATTATACAAAATTATTGATAATATTATAATAATAAAAATACTAATTGAATTGCTTACTATATAATCATAAAAATAATACTATTATTAAAGCAAAAAGAAAGAAATTGGTTATTATATTGAAATTTAAGAATATTATTATTAAAGAAAGAAATTTATTTAATAATTTGCAGCTTGTTTTTAAGAAATCTTTAATCTTATATTATTTCAATTCTGAAAAGAGGCTATATATTAATATAAATATATTCAAGAAAAGGATAAATAATATAATTTATTATTCTATAATTAATTTATTAATTCGAAAGTTTATTATATTAATTATATTTCTTTTTTAGTTTATTATATTTATTAAATCTAATTATTGATTAATAGAATTAGAAATTATAGATTTGTATTAAATAATTTCTAGAATTTAGTATTTAATTAAATTATCAAAATTTTCTATAATAATATATATAGATTATTCTATAAATATTTAAATTATTATTCAGATTTTTATAAATATATTCTTTTTGGTTTAATTGAATCCTTGTTATCTATAAAATTCTGAATATCTTTCTCGATTTTGCTTTAAAGTATAATATAAATCTAAATATTTTAATATTATATTAAATACTTTATTACAATTTTATATTATTAAAAAAAAAATAGAAAAGCAGAAATCTATTTAAATGAATTATATTTATAATATTAAAATAATAGAAATTATTGTTTATTCTATAACTATATTATAAATCAAAGAAATATAATTATAAAAACTTAAGTAAATATATATATTAAATCTATAATATATTAAATTAATCAATTAAATCAAAAAGAATAATAAATTAGGAATTAATATTATAAAATTATTTTTTAATCTAAAAAAAGATATTCTATATATAAAAGCTAATATAATATATTCTCAAAAAAAATTAATTATATTTAAATCTTTAAAAAATAAGATATTCAATTATATATATAATTAATTGGGTTATTCTAATTATAATCAAATTTATAAAAGAGTTTCTTTTAGTTTTTATATTTTTAATATTTCAAAAAAACTATAAGCTTTTTTTTATTATTATTATTAATATAGAATATTATTAATTCTCAAATATTAGTTTTACAAATTGCTATAATCTATTCTAATTCCCTTATATATCTTTTATATAATTTCTATTAATTTCATTTTAGTTTTATTTAGATTAATATCTGATTTATTTGATTCTATATTATTGATTATTAATAAACTTTTTAAAATAATTATTTTGATTTTTAGAAAAAATATTTGGATAATAATTTAATAAAGAGATTCTTTAATTCAATATTTACTTTTAATATTATAAAAAGTATTATATATAATAATATTTAATTGAAATAAGAAATTTATATTTGAAATATAAAAAGGAATTATAAACTTATTAAATATTAAATTACTATTTAATATAATTTAGTATTTTTAAATAAATAAAAATAATAAATAGATTAATTAAATTATTAAAATTATATTTCAATATTATTTTTATATTTTAAATAAGATTTTATAATAATCCATAATTCTATCTTATTTATTTATAGTTTTATTAAATTCTATATTTCAAAGTATAAATATTATTATTATTATAATAATATATAGATTTAAAATTAAAAAGTTTTTTAATATTATAATAAAAGTAATTATAAAGTTATTAGAAATATTATCCCAAAAAGCTAAATTTGAATCTATAATAAAACAAATAGTCGAGATATATCTAATAGAATTTATTAATAATACTAAATATAAATTAATAATAATTAAAGTAATTAATATTATTAAATTTGTAGTTATATTTATAAAATATTATTTCAATTAATAATACAAATCTATATTCTTTAAAATTAAAGATTATATTTCTTTGAAATTATATTAAAAATATAATATATTTAATATTATAAATAAAAATATAAAGATTAAATAACAATTCACAGATTTATTTAGAATATTAGAAAGAATCAAACATTTAGTTTATTAAATCAAATTATTCGAATTTATAAGAATATATTCAATTATTAGTATTATATATTTTAAATCTATATTAGATTTTATATAAAATCTTTATTATTATCTTTTCATATAAGAAATTCTATAGAATTTAAAGCTAACTTCAAAGTGAATTCTATATAAAAGAGTATAATATAGAAAAAAAGGAAAAGAAATAATTGAATATCTAATTCGTTTTTTAGGAAAAAAAGTGAAATAAAATAAATGAATATTAAATAGAAAAATTCCAAAGAAACTAATTAGAGTTTTTAAGGAATAATTATATACAAATTTAAAAAAGGATATGAAAACTAGATATACTTTTGCTTTAGAATAAAGTATTCTTTTATTTACAGTATTTATTATACTTTTATTATGTATAATTATTAAATTAGTTTAGCTTAAATTAGCTAATTCTAGGCTAATATTTTGGCCCTTGGTATTATTCTAATTCTACATCTTTTATTCTATACATAAACCTCACAGTAAGATTATAAAAGCTATCTTATTAATGCTGAGCGAACTATGCTATTTACAGGTCTTGATTACGTAAGCTATGCTACCCTGTAGTCCGCTACAGGATATTTGATTTATTTTTAAATATTTAAATAACAATTATTTTGAAGGGTTTGAATTGAAAATTCAATAAATTTATTTATTTTGTATTGAAAAAGTATTACAAATTAAAAATTCTAATTTTTTTTGGATTAAAAATTTAAATAACTTCCCTTGATTCAGATTGTTCATCATAAGATTTTTATAATTTAACATTAATAAATGTAATAATTATATAATATTTAAGTTTATATAAGTTAGAGAAACTTGAGTTTTGCAGATATTATGTTATAAAACATTATAGTGTGCGGTGAGTAGGTTCTAGAACTCTTTTACTTTACACGGCACGCGTTTTTCAACCTACCTCACATTCGCATATATGAAGGACATTAGGTTTTGAAACACTTGGTCAAAAGACTTCCACTGCAATCACTCCGCATCTCCTGCAAACCTTACTATTAAAGTCACGGGCTTATTTTGTGGTGATTGCTTGTTTGAAAGGGATCATACACTAAGAATGTTGCTTTTTTCCGATACTTATTGTTTTACATACCGCTCACTTCTCAGATTCTCATTCAAAGTTTTCATTTAAGATATATTTGCTTTTGACCCCGACAAGTAAAGATGGCTCCAACATATAAATTGATCTGTCCCTTCTCTTTTGCAATGATTCTCAGTTTCTCACTCCATCCGGATTCCAGTTTTTTTCCCGGTGCAACAAAACGTTAACCTCTGAAATTTTCCAAGAAAAAGCGTTCCGGCCCGGTCACTCTGCATACAATACACATTCCTGTAAGATCTTTCTACTCAAAATTGCAATGATAGTGGCGATTTACTAATATTAACCAAGGTCTTACAACATTCAGTTCCACCATGTCAGTCTCAGAACTACCATCAATTCTCTCGAGAACAGTCTTCTATAATCTCAATGGGACAAGATCGGAGGGCATTCGCATTCATGTCAGATGTGGTTTCGAGAGAGTGCTTTGCGAGCTCAGCACCATTGAAAAAGAGAGTATCCGAGTTGCCATCCTCGATACATTAAGTTGGGAATGGTTTGATAGTTACGAAAATTGCGAAATTGCTTGCGTCTTTCCCAACCTGAAGGAGATCATATTTTTGTGCGCCAAGCCTGAGAATCTGTTCAAATATAGTATGAGAAATTCCGCTCTTCAACTCCAGCCTTTGAGACCTGGAAGATATGTGGAGACCGGACCTAAGAGACATTACCTCACTGAAAGGAGATCTTTGAGGATCGAAAAACTGATACGCAAGCAACATGGAAAGCCACTCGATACTGACGACGAAAAATATCAGGGGGAAAGGGATGAGGATGGATATGGAGTTGGTTTCTTAGGCGACGGGGATGAGGAACTCAAACGTGAAGAGGAAGATCCAACAGACTTTATAGGACAAGGCGAACATGGCTTCAGGGAGTACTTACGCTGGGAGGATAAAAGAGAGGAGTATTAAGACATGTTCCATGATGCTTTCACAGACCACGATGGTGTCTTATACCATGATAGGGATTTGGATACAAGAATTAGCATTCCTAGAATCACATTCTGTAGTATCACAGAATTAGAGAGTGAGTGGGGCGATATGGAGAAGGGCGATTGGGGCGATTGGGGCGATATGGTGATGAGCTTCTGATGTTAGTTATCTTTGTCACTACGCACCGATAGCTTTGGGTTAAGTAAGGCGGGGAAATGGGTATAGAGTATTAAGATGTCAGAAATTGAATACGTGACCGATTCTAGCCTAAGTGACCAGGTTTTCTACCATTGCAACTGAAGACGAATAGATTTATTCTAATTCCAGCGAGATAAGTGTCAAGCGAATCTCAGATAATCATTTTGTGATTCCTGAATGAATGAAGCCGAGCTCGCAATTATGGTTGCCGCGCCTTAATCTTTTAGATGTTTCGGTTTCAGAGGTATGTGGATAGATTGAAAATGATTGTCTATCTTACACTCCGACCTTGTTTATTTTAATTCTTGTTGCGTCTTAATAGTTTCCCAAATAGTTCCTGAGTAGGCACCTTTTTGTTTTTGTTCATTTGTGAGATGTTGTAATCGCTGGTCTATATTAGGGCCCGTTCGGATCGATTTTTTTAGGTGATGTTGATAACAAATATAGCCTAAATAAACATTTACCAAACATAAATATTATCCAATAAAATCTCATAAATATTGACTTTTTTGATTTACAAATATTGTCAATAAAATATATTTATCAAATACAAATATTATTTAACAAAATCTCATAAATATTGATTTTTTTGATTTACAAATATCATTAACAAAATATATTTATTAAATATAAATATTATTTAACAAAATCCTATAAAATCTATAACTTTATATTAATAATATATCATCAAAATCTTAAATACAATTTTAAGAAATATTTAATAATATTTTGTAAACCTTTTTAAATTTTTAAAGAAAAACTAAGCTAATTTTCAATTAATTATATTATTTATTATTATATTATTTATTTATTTTTATTATTATTTTATTATTATTATTTTTATTAATCTTATTATCTTATTTTATTATTATTACTCTTATTAATCTTACCTTACCTTATTATTATTATCTTATTATTATTACTATATTAATAAAAAACTTTTTTAGAATATACCTTTTAATTTTTCAAAAAAAATATTGCTTTTATTAGTATACTTATATTTATATTTAGGAAAAATATATTATTAAATATTATATTAAAATATCTATATATAGATATACAAAAAAGCAAGGATTCAAAATATATAATAAAAATTGTATTTAATTAATTCTAGATTAAAATCATAATCAATAATATTTCAATAATCTACATATATTAAAAGCTATATTTATAAAATTATAAGACTTTATACTCGAATATATTAAACTTTAATCTTTTTATAATATTATAATTAAAAAGAAACTTGTAATATTCCTCTATATAATTATAAAAGAAATTAATATAAATAATATAATAAAATTATTTGATTATTTTAAATCAATTATTTATAATTGTTTTCATTAAATCCTTAAGATTATATTAATTTTGTATTAATATGAAATCAAATTTCTAGATATTTCTTCTAATATAATAATTCCTGGTTATAAATAAATCAAAAAAATAAGAAATTCTTTTTATATTTTCAAAAATATTTTAGAATTATAAATAATATCCATATTTATTTATAATAAATTATTAAGAATATTATATTGTTTTATAATAAAAAAGGAATTTTAATACAAAATATACTTAATATTTATACTTTTGATTTTCAATTCTTTTTTGTATAATTAAATTAAAAAGAAAGTATATATAATCAATAAGTTTTTAATAATATATATATAAAAAATATTTTCAAAATCTCTAATAAATAATTCTATTTAATAAATATAGGATATACATATTAATAATTATTTCTTATTTTATATCAAAAAGTATAATATTATTTAAAAAAAATAAGTATTAGTTAATATATAATCGAAAAATAAAAAGGAATTATATAATTTTTAATATTTAATAGTATAAAATTCAATTAAACAAATTTTTGGAATTCTTAAAAACAGATTTAAGATATTTAATAAACTTTTTTTATTTTTTTTTAAAAAACAAATTTGAATTATATTTATATATATTATATTATATAATTTTATTTACTTTTACAAAACAAAGAATATATTTAAAAATAAAAAAATACAAAAAGAAATAATAAGAGATAAAGATAATGGATTTGAAAATAGCTTGGAATTTCCTCCAAAAAGTAATAATCAAAAAACCAAAAATATAATAAAAATCAAAAATAATATTACTAATATTATATAGAAAGATTACATTAAGGATTTAATCAAACAAAAAATAATTAGAAAAAACAATATTTAGGAAAATATATTGATTATTATTATTATTATAATAATTAATGATTATCTTGTGAATTAATTTTTTTTGGTTTATAATTATATGTATATTAATCTGTTTTATTATAATTAATTATAATATTATAATTAAATTTATTAATAATTTCCTTTATAAAATCATCTTGAATTCTATCAATTGTATTCAAATATTGAACTATAAAGATTAATAATTCTAAACCAATAATACTATTATTAATATTATTGAATTTTGATAATAAAGTTTTGTATTACAACTTTTTGATTATATTTTCCAAATCAGAATAATCACAAAACATCTTTTTTATTACTTGAATAACTATAGATTATTAATATTTGTATATAAATTAAGCTTAGATTTATTAATATTTATATTCAAAATTAATATATTTCTTTAGAAATTAATAAATATAATAACTTTCTTTATTACTTTCCTTAAAAGCTTTAATAAATTATAATATTTATAATGTTTTTATTTAATATTTATACCTTTTATAATCTTTATAACTTTCAATTAGATTATTCTAAGAAATATTATATTTTAATCTATTTTCTCTTTTTTCATTATTTGTATTATTCAATTTATAAAAATTACAAGAAATTTTGTTAATAGAAGTTTTGGGATTAAAAAATATAATCGATATATTTATTTTATTCTTTTTTATTCCAAAGAATTTGATTTTCGAAATTAATAATAAATTATTATTGTTATTATCATTATTGGATTCGAAAGAATTATTAGAATTAATAGTATTATTAATTATTAAAAAATTAATTATAAAATCAGATTGAATTTCAATCTTAATCTAATTGATTATATTATTAATTCTAATCACAACTCAACTAATTATAGTTTTATTTTTAAAACAAAAAAGTATTTCGAAAAGACAGATTATCTTTTTATTCTTTTATAACTTCAAATATTTATAGATATTTATAATAAATTATCAAATCTTATTCAAAACTTAAAAAGATTATTAATCTTTTTTTCAATCTATACCAAAAATTTCTTAAATATAAATATAATCCTAATATATAGATTTGAATAAAAATTATTTCAATTAATAATATTTAATTATAATTTATCAATTAAATACATAATAAAATTGAATTAAAGTAATAATTATTAGTTATATCTCATCTTTTATAAAGCTTTCTATATATTTGTTTTTATAAACCTACTATTTAATTATATATTATCAAATAGTATTTAATAGCTTATTCTATTTTTGTTTTCTTGGTTTATTATTTGTAATCCTCGAAATCGATATAGCATCTATTATAATAAAACTAAAGTTTTGAATTTATAAATCAGAAAGATTAAAATTATTATTTCATAAATATATAAAAGTATTAAAGATTAAAGTTTTAATAAAATTATAATAATTAAAAACAAAAAGATTTGATTTCTTTATAATTTGAAAATCAAAAGCAATTATTTGCAAATCTATTTCCTCTAATATTTCATTTATTACAATAATTAATAATTGACTTGAAAACTCATTAATTATATCTTAAAGTTTTTAAATTGGATTAATATTATTGGATTTTAATATATATAGAAATACACATCAAAACTCTAATTTTGTTGAAATATAATTTTCTGAAAAAAAGAAAATATAGTATTTATTAAATAAAAAAATATAATAACAAAAAAGACTATAATATTATATTGAAAAAGAAATATAATATTATTAATAAATTAAAGAAATATATTATACAAAAAAAGGGATTCGATATTAATATAAAAAAGAATAGATTAAAAAAAGAATAGAATTTGTTGATTTAAAGAAAAAAGATATAATTATATTAGAAATAGTTATATTAGAAAAAAAATATAATATTAATTATAATAATATTGAAATAGAAAAGATAATAAAGAATAATATTTATTAAATACTATAGAACTATTAATAATAGATTATTTAGAAAAGGGATTTATTTTTATAAATAAAATTGATAAAAAGAAGTTTGAATAAAGAAATAATTTTCAATAAATATTAAAAAGTATATTATAATAAAATAGTAATAATAATAATAATATTAACAAAAGATTATAAAAAAAAGTATTTGTTAAATACAAAAATTGATTAAAAAATAAATTTGGATTTATAAAAACTATTAATTTTGTTAAATATAGAATTCAATAATTTGTAAAAATATTGTTAATAAATTTTGTTGATTTTTTGAATAATCTAAATACAATTATTAATAAAATATTTGTAAATTATATATTATAATATTATATAATCAAAATTAATAAAATATTAGAATTTTAATAAATGATTCGAATATTAATATTGATAATATAATATATTCGCTAAATTTGTAGTGCTACAACAATGTTGTTAATATAGAAAAAAACAATCCAAACGGGCCCTTAGTCATTTGGACTTCTCAATGTCTGAGTTCCAATTTCAAACTCATCGTCTCTGTTTCGACACCCTCGGTGACGACTTCGTTTCATGAAGCTCCCATGAATTTTTACTGCCTCCTTAGTCTTGTATTACTTTCCCCTATTTTGCTTCATCCACTCATCACTGGTTTCCAAGTCTCGCAACTCTCTGTTTGCTTGCATTAGATTTAATAGCGAAATTTCACTCATCCATTTCAAAACGTGTGGAATGTCCTGAATCATTCGATTTATTGAAAACACGGGTACGCTGAATCTGTAAGATAGTTTCTGACTTACAAACTGTTTTGAAACTATGCCATACATGCTGCAATTTCCAGACAACAATATCATAATCCCATCCCATATGAACAATACCTGTAAAGACTCAAGTCCGTATGTAATTCTGCAGCCGCATAAAATTAGGTAATTATTGAATTGAAACTACAAGAGAATAAGTAGTGAACAACACCAAACAGATTTGTATTTATACCTGTAAATTGCATTATAAGATTCTCCAAGCAGCCTCTTCAACCCTTCCTAACATCCACAAGATAAACACCCACACTCTTCAATCCAAATTCTCAGAGATGTCAGGTTACCAAGAACAATGCAACTACTGTGACTACGAGGTAGTCAAGTGTTGCTGCTGCGGCGAATTCAGCCACCGATTTATCGGAAATCCATGCAGTGATTGCGCGTCTGGACGCACAACCCCTTCCTGGAACGGTCAAGATCCCATCTGGGTCGAGTATTGCGAGCAATGCTTACGTAACGGTCAGTCTTAGAGAGTCCAGTCTTATCGCAGTTTCTTCATCTTTTTCTTTCTTCTTTTGCTTTGTTCTTTTGTTTGATGGGTAGGATTGGATACTAGCAATAGCAAGTATTTAGTTAATCGGTTACTTATCACGAGACTTTAAAGAAACTTCAAAATCTAAAAAGAAATTTCAATTATTGGATGGATGATTAGGAGTTAGCAGTTGAAAAAAAAGTCTAGAAAATCGTTTCTAGAATAAAAATAATAAAAATATGTTTTGCTTTAAATAAGTTCCGGATCTCGAAATATGACTAATTGACTATGAAAATATCCTTGCTTTGATCTCTTCGTCTTGAGTTGAGTCTATCTAATGGGAATATGTTATGTGGATTTTAGACTTTTTACCCCTTTTGTAAGTGAGCCGAGTATTTTCGTATGATGTGATTTCTTATTCTCTATTTCTTTGCCTTCATTCTCTTTAACTATTACGTTGTGAGATTTTGGGTACAATTGAAGTATCACAGGGGCCTAGACAATTAGAATAACCAATCTTTATTATTTATGCTCTTTTTAATCGACACTCAATCTGTGCCTGTGTTCCAACTGGATACCTCCAGATTTTAATAACCTCCAATCCAGCTGCATCAATAATCTCTCTGAACTCTTTTTCACTCTTCTCTTTTCCATTTAACATCATCATACAAAAGTCCATCCAATAAATCATTATTTCACCATCAACATCAGTCTTCTCTGGTCGTATCATATCAGCAATCACAACGCGGGATGTAGAACCCATAGCCGATGCGATATTTTTGAGAAGTTGAATGCAGACTGGTTCATAAAAATCGTGGAGGATACGTCGAATGAAGTAGACATGAGCATCTATTTTGTGTTAGATTTCCATTCCCATTTGCATCTGGTTTGCTGCACCAAATCACTAAGACTTTCAACCACCATACTTCCGTCTTTATTTTTCTCCCATTGTACTTCTTCAGCTAATCACATAACCCGCCTAAACTGATGCACGTGAACGAAATATAGGGAGTAACTTACTTTTGATAGGTTGAGGTGTATGAAAGTCATAGACCATTTTCTCAATGTTGGGAATATCTTGCTCGGTTAAACTTTCCAGAACATCTGATCTATCCTGAAGAATCATCTTTGCCCCAAAACCCTCAGGTGCTTCTTTTTGAATAGCAATTAAAGCTTGGCCTCTTCCACCTCCGATGTCCACCACAAATGGTCTCTCTTTTTCCGCTTCAACTTCATGCTTGAGTGTGGCAAATGGATACATGCCAGTAATAGGAGATTGTCTTTCCATGGTTACCATGGTCGTATTAAACATATGTAGACGCTCTGGAGTGTGAGAGATTACTTCATAATAAGTTTTGCCTTCTAATCCATGGCCATAAGCGTATGGCCCCTTTGTCAGATCGTAAAGATCTTCTTTGGAATGAGTTCGGAAGTACTCTGGGAGTTTAATGTATGCGGGAGTATGGTCATAACTAGATGGTCAGCAGTTTTCTACACAATCAAGGAGCAGGTAGGGAAGAGAGGAAGGGTGATTGGGGAGGTCATTGGCTCTGATAACTTACATGAGTTTGAAGAATTCTTCTTGGAAACCAGGTCGGTATGCAAGAGATTTACTATTGTGCGCAAAAACATCCGACTATACCTCTTCTTCAATACCAAACATGACAGACATTCTTAATGCACGGGCTTGAGAAGAGTCAGTCCGAGTCCATGGGATGTGTCTACTGGTGGAACAACGAACCAATGGCGGATTCATCTACATTGACTGCTGCAGCAAGGTCCTTTGCCGTAATTGATCCTTTTTCAGGGATTGTCTCAAAGGTTTTTGTTTCTACTAAGAGATTGAGAGCAGCAATGACATTTGTCTATGTTGTATTAGCATGATTAACTTAAACTGACTTTTCACCCGTCATAAGAGCTGGGACGCACATATTCCCATTGCCACATCACTGCATCAATTGGCTCCTCGAGAAAAAGTCGAAGTTTGTCAACCTGTTTGAGAAGTTCGGTTCTGGCATGATGATTGCCGTCAAAATTCTTGACTTTGGTTGATATCTCATCTGCAGTTTGCGATAATTCTGAGAAGTTTTGAAAAGAATCCATGTCGATTTCAAACGCCGTTAAAAAGGCTACAAAACTGCTGATTAGTTGACGGATTTGGGGAAGATCATGCTATGTACTTGAGTAATTAAGACGGAGGCCGTTTATTTCGAACTTTTTGAAGAGCCACGTCATAGAATCGACATGATGTGGGGATCAAACAGTTTGTAGTGGGGATAACCCCCAATATTGCTAACGGTCAATCATGAAATGCTTGTTAAAAATGGATATGCTACCGGATTCGAATTCAGATCCCGAATATACCTTGTCACTTTCCCAACCACAAGCTCGGGGGGCGGGGAGAGATTGAGCCGTCCCGAAAATCCTATCACAAATCCACAAGGAAATCACTGACTTACCGTCACGATGACATGGTTCTGAAAAACAAGGAAGAACGGAAGCCTTTCTAGATCTAGAAGCTCAAAGTGTGCGCAGAAATCTTCCAGCGACTTCTGAAATAAATACTGTAAGATACCCACAATACGTTTTTAAATGATGTGAAGATTATTGCAACATTTGAGATAGTCAATGTCGGAACGAAACTTTATCGAGCCTGGGGATGATGATTTTATTGATGAGGTTCGTTCATAAAAATGCGGAATGGATGTGGATAATGACAATAGCAGGGAGCAGACGTTGGAGAAGATGTAAGGAGCTCTCTCGCGTCGCTAACTTCAAGTATCATAAAGGGAGTAGAAGAAAATGGGAGAACATATGCTGTATATGGTCAAGAAGGTAAAGATCAATCTCTGATATGTATATGCTGGACGTCAAAGTACTGACATTTGAAAGAATATGGAATGCCGATGGACGAGATAGAGATGGACCGAATTGATATGGCCCATGCAAAGTATTTTATGCTTCTTGAGAAGAAAGGATTCCTAGCACCTATTGATGCAGATGTCCAAAACGTCCTAGACCTTGGTACTGGAACTGGTTAGCTTCCTGTGCATTTCTAAGGTCGGACCAAAACAACCGGAGACTGACTACGACCAGGAGCTTGGAGTGTTGATTTTGCTGATGCTCATCCATCGGCTGAGGTGAGACCCAATCATATTCAAAATTATGAGATAATCTGACCTTGAAAAGGTCGTGGGAATAGATATTGCTCCCATACAACCCATTTGGTAATGGCTCTCCACAATTTCGTGAATTGGTAGAGCAACGCTTGCAGATACCCTTGATCTGACTTGTCTTTAGGGCCCCGCCAAATTGTCAATTCCAAGTCGACGACATCACTCGACCTTGGACTTGGAAGAAGGATAATTTCGATTTTGTTTTCGCTAGAGATTTACTCTTCTCAGTCAGAAACTGGCCGGATTTGATTTCTCAATGCTATGAGTAGGTCTCTTCCTCAGATATCAGACAATTCTAACTATTTAGTCACATTAAACCCGGCAGTTGGGTAGAGTTCCAATCCATTCATGGTGTTCTAGGCTGCGATGACGATACTTTACCCCCTGATAGTAAATTCCGCAAATATGATAAACATATTAGAGCCGCCGCAGTTGCATTTGGAACCCCTCTAGAAGATCCGGCTTCGTTCAAGAAATGGTTCGAGAAAGCCGGTTTTGAAGCTGTTTTGGAAAAGAAATACAAGATCCCTTCAAATCCATGGCCGAAAGATCCACGACTAAAGTTGATCGGGGCTTTCGAACAGGAAAACTTCATGACTGGACTAGAAGGTATGAGTATTCGTTCTTTTGATAAACTAGGCTGGATTCTAGACGAAAGCAAAAGATTCTTGGGGGAAGTAAAAAAGGAAATCAGAAATAGGAGAAAACATCCTTACTATCCATTGTGAGTTATTGTCCTCAGTTTTATGCACAAAAACTGATATTATAGCTATGTTGTATATGGTCGAAAGCCAAAACAATAAAACAAAAACATAGATCATAACGTTTTAGAAGAATGAACTGGATTTCTCAATTAGACAGTGTCTCGCGAAGAAGCCATATGGTTGGCAATAAAGATCTGATGCTTGAAAAGTACCAACATAATTCTTACTATTTTAATACAAATTTATTAACAATGATTAAAATTTGAAATTTAACCGAAGAAGATTCTCAGAGGAATCGTCTCGAGTGTACAGTCTGAGATACCACAATGAAACTTTAACAATTGTATAAATGTCGTAGAAGATACCAAACAATCCCGTGTCCACAGCTCTCCAAATATTTTTCCAAATCGCAGGGTTCGAAGCCTCAGGGGAATTTACTATTAGAACCTGGAACTTGGAAGGTGATGCTGGGCTACTAGCCTAAGGAAAATATCGGTTTAGTATCATACAAACTCTCATATTCGCAACCATTTCTTCCGCCGAAATAAAATCTGTAGAGCATATGATCACGGAGGTGACCAGATGATTTGAGCATGAAAATAGAAAAAAGTAAATGGTAGAAGTATATACACTAAAATCTTTGAATGTTATGGCGATGATACTCAATGCTAGGAACATCATACCGGGCATCATTCTGCCTTGAACTGCGAGACATCTACATGTCTTCCTTGATCAAATCTGCTGCTCTCTCTGCTACAGCATACAAAGTACTAACCAAATGTCCGGAGACTTGCATAGGTAATATACTAGCATCTACAACTCTCACATTCGCTGTTCCATATACCTTCAACCTTGAGTCTACCACTCCACCGACCTCTCTTGGCATCATTGCAGCCGTTGATACTGGATGGAAGTTTGAGCGATAAACAGTTTCAACCCAGTCAAACCATTCCGCCTCCGTGGCATTGGCTGATACTTTGTCCAATCCAGGCTTAGTCTCTGATCCGACGAAAGAGGACAATGGAGAAGCCGCATAGATGGAGCGAATAAACTTGGCCGTGGCGATTTGAGATGTGACATCCCAATCAAACATGAAATAATTTGGATTGATAGCTGCGGGTGTGCCAGCTACGGAAGATGCGATGTGAATGCTTCCTCTTGCAAATGGTAACAAGGCCCAATATTCCGAGCTGAAAGCTGTTGCGGATGGTGAGATGAGTATTTCAGCCATTGGAACTGGATGGGTAGTTGAGAAGATCAGATCATGTTGAATTTTGAAGAATTTCAACAAATCTGCAGCTTTGGTGATGTTACCTGATGCAGCTGATACTTGAGCAGCATATGAAGGAAGAGATTGAAGAACATGAGCAGAGATGTTTTGAACTTCAGAACCAAATACTTGGGCTGCGGAAGGATAAGCTACCAAGGTTCCGGCTCCAGAGAAAAAGGTGTTGCCTGAACTGTTGTATGCAAGGCCAGTATTTGTTTGATCTTGAAGATTTTCTCCTACAGTTGGGAGATCAACTACAACTGAGATATTGTGCTTGCTCAAGATGGAAGGGTTTCCAATACCGGAATGTTCAAGAAGAAGAGGGGATGCTAGAGCTCCAGCTGAAAGAATGACTTCGAAGTTTGCATGAATAGTGTATGGAATGCTTGAGTTGTTGGAAAGAACTTCGACTCCATTTGCGGTAGGGGTATTAGCGTCGGATGTCCATGTGAGTCGTTGAGCCATAGTATTTGAGTAAAGATGAAGATTGGTGCGGTTAGCAATTGGATAATAATATGCTCGCCCAGCGTCATGACGAACGTTCAATGTTCTGTCGTATGTAGCTGGGTATCGACTGTAACCAACCATTCTACCAGTATTGACATCATCATTTGAAGGAACACCAAGACCTGCAAATGTATCATTCAAGGTTGTGTGGAAGTTGCTAGTATCTGCCAAGCTGTTGAGCCAGCCAACCTTCAGTGGTCCATCGAATCCATTCGCTGAGGCGTCATATGTTGCACCAGCTTCAACTTGAGCAGTGGTGGGGATTTCGAGTGTCTGAGACTTTTTGTAGTATGGGAAAAGATTTGCCCAGTTCCATCCATCATTTCCAATGGCCGCCCAAGCATCAATTTGAACATCTTCCGCTCGCGTGTATGCCATTCCTGGTTGCGTTAGAAACGTCATGAATAGTTTAATGGGGAAGCATACCATTGATAGTACTAGTCCCTCCGATGATTTTGCCAGCTCGTAAGACTTGGCTCATGTTTCCTGCATACTTTTGGTTCGTCGATTGATAGGCCCAATCGATGTCTGTTCCAAAAGATAATCCATAACCGGATGGGTTTGTCACATTGGGATTGTTGTAGCCCGAATCACCTGCCTCAATGACAGCCACGGTGACATTCAACTCGGATAAACGATTTGCGATGACTAGACCACTGGTTCCAGCACCAATAACAATATAATCATAAGTTAAAGTAGATTTGGTGCTAGCTGCAGCCAAAGAGGCCAGAGCAAGTGTAGATAGTACACGATACATAATCGTTCGGATTGATAAACAGATGAGGGTGTAAAAGAACGAAAGAATGTAGTGGTGAATAGAACATAGGATTGGATGAAATCGTAGGTGAACTTATACAAACATTGTCCCATATACTGTCGGTCCGCCCTGCGTCTATCTAGAACCATCTCTGACGCCGACTCGGGCATTCAGTGGAGCATGTGAACTCAATTTTGAGGATTATACAGCATCTGTAAGTTCTTCGCAACTTTGACAAAGCAATTTTCGTGTTTGACAAAGCAAAGGGGGATACCGAGATGCGATTCCACGCGTCAAACTCATGGTTCTTGCCTTGAGTTTGGAGAATTAAGAGTTATGGTCCACAATATCTTTTGGTTCGAACTTCAATCGCTTGATTGTGACGTCGGCAAAGTCTCGTCAAAAAATAATAATGCCGAAAGGACTTTGACGAACGCAAGGATCTGCTTGTCGATGCCCATCAAAATTGTCAGTACCGATTAAGTGCCGCTATGTTATCATTCAATCATAGTTTGATGGGACAATCCGACCAATCCGACCAACCCGACCATTCTATAGGTCTCGTCACTTGACTCTCCTTAGACAGTGTCGTGCAATGCTCGGAAAGTCTGAAAGATCCTTAGATTCTATTGTCTAACATAGATCTAACATGGATTACGGTCAGAAGAGAGAGTGAAACGTCATCGATGCAGGGGAGAAGGGAGTCAATGTTTTATGGATTCAGCACACATTATGATTCATCCAGTTCATCCAGTTCATCAAGCTGATCAAGTTCACCAAGAGCGTGGCGGATTTCTGAAACTACAGAAAATTCTTAATGGTGCACAGACAAAAGAACGGAAGCAACTATGGAGACTCAAATTTCTACTCGTAGAGATCCTTAATGCCCCCGCCTTATTAATCTTTTACCAACCGGACCGAAAGAGCGAGACCAACTTTAGAAAGCATTGATAAGCCACCAGAGTATCCACAAAGTTGCATGGGGATGAAATCTGTTCCGCCATGTTTATGTATAAGCTTAAAGGTTTATTTTGACTCGCTCCACTGCCACTGCCAATCATCCTCGACCTCTATCGTTCATTCTCCTACCTATAAATATAATGGTCGATCCGCAGCAGATTATATGGTTTGGTGATAGATAACGGAAATCTAGGCGCAATTGATGTAGTGGTGTATTGGGTCTAGATTTGGTGCACCGCGGTGCTGGATGGTATTGGGATGGATTTGAATAGAAATTATTCAGGCTATGTGGTGGACACGAGAACCATCGAAATGTCAGAATTTGAGCACTACACACAAGTCACATTGCTTGGCCTTGTTATCTACATATTCGTGTATCAAAAATGCGATAGCGATATCCTCTCTCTCTATGGCAAATGGGTGCATCTTGAAACGGGCAAATCACAGAAAACAAAGCAAGTATAAGATTTGGAGACAGAATATGTACGTGTTCCAATATATACAATCAATAATAAATACGATCAAAATAGAAAGGCAAATTTTCAAATCTTGTTCGACTGAGACTCTCAACACCACCCCTCGCCCCCTTCCCTTCTTGCTCGCCAGATGCAAACTTCCACCAACGCGACGACACTGTTCACACACTACTTCTTGAGAGTCAAAACTCCAGGACGGTAAGGCTGAGTGTCATAGTTGCCGTTGGAAGAAGGGCTCTTTCCCTGGTAAAGCATCTGCAAGTTACATGGATCAATCGTCATCGTCTGATCCGGGTTGCTGCGGATCAAATCGCCATGACTGATATCGTTAGTCCAAGTGGCACCACTGTTGGCCTTTCCAGCGAACGGCGCTGCCTCAGTTGCAGCCTGTGGAGTCCATGTACCGCCTAGACTTGTAGCAGTGAATGAGCGGAAGTATCGTCCCTTTGATCCGATTGCTTCAACGATCATGAGGTACTTGTTTTGACCTGCTACGGTGTAGACCTGAACTGCTTCGAAGACATTGTTGGTTGTGTCGCTAAGGACTACGGTTGATGCTGTGCCGAAATTTCCGGGGAAATTGCCGATTGGCATGCTAGATCTGTAGATTTTGCCGTTGTCTCCTGCGAAGAAGAGATACATGTTTTTGCTGTCACCAATGACGGTTTGGTCGATGGGGCCGGTACTGGAGCCGGAGATGGTGCCGGAGATGGTGCCGGAGAAAAGGGGCTGCGATGCTGACCAGCCATTTGCATTGGTTGGGTCACTCGATGTCTTGTAAGAGAAAGCGGTTGGGCCCCATTGATGGGCCAAGATCCAGATACTCTTTGGAGCGAAGTAGAAGAGTGTAGGGGCAATGGTGGCTGAAGTCATTTTGTTCTGGCTGGCTGCGGCCATGTCAGACCAGTTTGTGAAGAGCCCGAAGTTCATTGAGCCATAGGCGGTTCCTGTGTCGTGGTCTGTAGCATAGACAAGGTGTTGGCCCTTGTAGACAACATGGGTGAAGTCCTTCAGTGAGGCCCATCCTGACTTTGGTGTCGCCAATGCATTAGTGGACGTCCAGCTGTATGTAGATGGGAGATCACATGTAGCGGCGAATGCTTGTGGTAGTAATGCCGCGAAGAACAGAGTAGAGATGCGAGTCATGATGAAGATATATCACAGGATACTTGGAGTTGGAAGAGGAATGAAGTTATTGAGATGATTGAGAGGATATCGAATACAAGAACCTCGCGATCCTTCTCTCTTTATGTCATATCACTCCCTGGCTGGTGACATCGCCAAGTCTATCGATTCAAATGCCAACGAAACAGCTAGCAAGGGTATACTATATTAATCGTTTACAATTGATTCTCTCTGCAATATACCTACAGGACGTAACATTGAAATGAAATTATGACAAAGTCCAATCATTACAAGTCGTTTAGTTATGGTAGTGTTTGTATGAACTTGTCTATATCTTATTGGCTTTTCCGAGCAGCTAGTAAAGTCGTATTTCATTAAATGCTCCCATTAATGCTTTTTGTGATATAGGTACTGTAGGAACCAACGTTGAAACAAAATTGTGGGGAAGCCTGCTTGTCACAGGCCCCTCTAATTACGGTAGTGCTTTGATTGGCTCGTATATATCAGATGCCAAGTGGATACTAAATATGGTTTTAGCATCGAGACAGACGACCTCGGCAGTTCTAGAACCTGACTTAGCTTCAATTCCTTATGAATGATAATCAAGCTTACCTCTTTTCCCATAGGCCTCGAGTCCTTTCCCCATATTTACTCCTCATACCCAAGAACGACTAGTAATCACAGCCTGCTTGTTACCTCCTATTGCATAGTATTTTCAAAAAAAAAAAAAAAAACTTCTCAATATGCCTCATGATACCGAATTTGTTAAGATTGTAAGCGTTCGAATCAGGAGAACTTCCTTGAACAAAAGGTGCAGGATACCAGATTTTCGATCCGAGTTGTCCACCAGGGGGTGCACGGACTCACGGGACAACGTGACAGGAAAGCACAATTTCATACCAAAATAAGTAATTTTGATAATTTCATTAAAATTCAATTTATTATAAAACTCTTTTGAAATTGAAATATACTGTTTTTTAAGTATAAAAAAATTATTTATTTAAAAGTAGTTCAAATAAATTGTGATTTAAGCTCAAAAAACAAATGGTACATTTTCTCATCAAATTTTTTGATAAAAGATTATATATTCTTTTATAAAAATATTAATATTAGATTTTTTAATTCTATTTTGAAATTATATATAATAATTATACTTTAGATTTATATTTCTGATTTTCAAATAAACTTATAGAAATTTTGAATTTTGAATGAATTATCAAAACAGCTCTTTTTGGTATGAAATTGTGCTTTTCCTCTTAAGTGTCCCGTGAGTCTGTGCACCCACTGGTGGTCCAGAGAAAGTATTCCCATGTTTGCATTTGCTAACAAGAAATCTGATTGATTTCTAGTATTTTGAACCCTGAATAATAAAGCAGTACGCCATAGCTACAGACTCAAGGCTCGCTATGAATATAGACAACCAGTTGAAGAAATTATGCATAGTTATCACAAATCAGTTTCCACACCGTTCGATTTATCTCATCTTTTCTCAAGATTCTTGAATGGAATTGGAATGGAGTCTATAATCTCGGGAATTTGTATGCTCACGGTCGATCTTTTCAGTATTCATGATACCGAGGTAGGAACTTGGTACAATACTGGCCGAGTCCTGGGGATAATTTCGTCAGGCAAGTTAATATTGCCGAAGATAATGGGGGGGGCGGCTTTGATATCTGTAGGAAATTTAATGTTCTGCTCTTTTAGATTTCAGAGTCTTTGCATGCTGGTAGATTAGCAGCACTAAATCTTAATTTGATGTCACGCTCTTTAATTGGTTGTTTTGAGTGGGTCGGAAAGCTTAGATTGATCTCATATGGGGTTGTAGATATTTAAATCTAGAAAAAGTTGCTGGGCGCTTGGGTCTATGGATGTCATCGAGAAAAGTAATGACTCGTGTGCAATAACTGTGCTATGGAAAAGAAGTGCTCATAAATTATAGTACCTTGTAGAAGAAAATCAATCACGTTGCTAGTTGTTCAATACTCACTAAACAAGGATCTTGACATAAGTCTACATATACCCTTACATTTTGAACACTTCAAAAAATGAATTTATGTGTATTTAAAACTTTAGTTACCCAATGACCCTGAGACTTCGATTTGACTTTCTTTCATACTATGAATCCCCACAAACGTCGAGATCTTCGAACTTCATTTCCTTTTCTAGGAGCTAGTTATTGATATCATCTTCACAATCTAAGTAATACTATAATCTCTTTTTTAGTAAGTTTGAGCAGTTGAGCGACATGCAAGTATCTAGGCATTGTTCTGACAATTGCAATGTTGAAATAAATATTGTAAGCGTAATAAGAATCTCAAGTCTTAAAATCTTATGACAACTTTGAAGATAGTAATTATCTAAGATACAGATACTCAAAAAGTCTTTACTGTTAGTTGAATTAAAGTATGTTATATTTCCCGTTGGGGGTAAGTCTAACTTGTACAAATTCTCACCGATATGCCCCCTAAAAGCTTGATTCTCCACTTTACTGCATTGATGTTACCTCATTGTATATTAGTTATTGGTTGTAAGCAAAAGCGAAACGAGCTTACCCGGATGGTAGGGGTATTTGGTCACACAAGCAGTATAAACGATACTCAAAGCTACGCATAAACACTCTGCCGTGTTGATGACTACGGCTTATTATCGCCACGTAGAGATGTGTAAATCAAGAGCCTTCAGGTCTTCATTCTTGACTTTGACTTCACTGAAGCGACTTTATATGATATCGCTTCAGGGACTCTTTCAACAGAGAGCGTTCCACAATGTCGTCTCATTCACCTCATTTGAAAAAATCGAAACTATCTTTCAAATTGTCTTCTGCTTTTAATTTAGGGAGTGACGGGAATTTGAATGCGAATAGACAAGAGTGCAATCTAGTTGTATCGATTCTAGGGTTTTAAAAATCTAATGGAAGTTTGAACATGATCAATCAACATCCAGTGAAGCTAATGCATCTAGAAAGGATGATACCATGTCGATTGATATTGTGCCGGAGATTAATTCACATTACCCAAGAAGTAACGAACATTCGGTAGTTAATGATGATATTGATATCGTGACAGAATCACTAGCATCCACTGTCTTGAGTTTATTTATTAGTCAATGCAGACCCTGATATTATAGACGCTTTCGGAAAGAACGATACATCTATGCAGCATAAGAACCTGGACTTAAGTAAGTACTTTTAATATAGAAGACATACTCAATTACCAAGTTTGTGATAGATCATAAAGTGCATAGTGCTAGGGAAGTCACACTTGGAAAAGTAAGTTCTCAGTTTTCTCTCCAGATAGTGAGGTTACATTTAATTTAGGCAGATTTTGAAACCCCTTTGGTCCGAACCATATGGGGATTCAGCTGAAGACGAAGCAATTTCGTCGCGTAGCAGGGAGAATGGTGAGATGAAATCTGCAAAGTTTCGGGGGTTCGCTGTCATCGGCTTTGGACAAGGTGATTGTCTTTGTAAATTTGATGCCTTGCTATTTACTGACTGTCAAATTAGATCAATTATAACTTACGGAAGAAGAGCGACAGACAAGCCAGGTGTGCATGCTGAAGAGCACATCATTATCTACGAGATGAAGCCAGCAATGGCTCCGAACGAATCGTTAGCCAAATGATATTCAAACGATCAAAACAATACCAGACTCAACACAACATCATCTCGACCTGGAACCTAGAATGAACTTTGCAAAAACTTATACTTATGGATACATTTTTAGGGACTTGTTCATTGGTCACAACAATGAGTGAACGTTGAGTAAGTCCTACGACCAGGCTAGATTTCACTAAGTCTTTCTGATATATCGTCTATACCAAGCTCATACTCAACAGATATTCCCATGTACAGCGATTCAATTCCTATTATACCAAACACTTTAGACACTTCTGCCTTCTCTGCGCCCTCTCAATATTCCAAAGTCTCAGACTATGGGAACGGCAGATCGTCTTCAATATCGTCCAGTGGCAGAGAATAGCATTAGATTCTCTACTTCCAATCGATACGGTAGATACATTTAAAGAAGACAAACCCCTTCGACACAGTACAATTCATCGTTAATGGACCACCTCTCGACGGACTTCAATAATCACAATCCAACGATTGGTCTTGCTAGCCATTTCTCAGACCACCGACACAGCGCTAGAAATCCACCTCTAATTATACCTCTTAGTGGCTCATACTCTTCGTTAATCTCTATCAACAAACATCAGCACTAGTAAACTCGAAGAGGGAGTAGTCGATTGATCCCCAGCGAGCTGTTTCGATACATGGTGGAAACAAGACACATCGTTCTCATTTACATGGTCCTTCCAGAAACAATACCAAGGATCGCTCATCGGGACGGACTTCACCTTTCCCAATATATGATGACAGTTTAAATAGGGATGCGTCTCTAGGGTCCCGCAGTATCCTAAGAGTTATTGTCGATGACTTTGTGCCAACGATGGCCGACTCAAGAGGGCAAAGAATACAAGATTCTGTTGGACTGCAAGGCAGTCAGGATTTTATAAATCTAAAAATCAGGCATTTAAGCCGTAATTAATCATTTAGTGGCCTAGAGAGCCTTAATTCATTGTTTTCTTCCGCGTCCTCATTATCTTCATTATCTAAATACACAAAGTAGAGTTGTTAGGATTTTGTCCAAAGATGAGAAGTTGAAGAGACTCTATCAAGAAGTCTTGTAAGTCACAAGGCTAGTGAAGTTAGAGTGATACTTCTGGAGTTGTATCATACAACTGTCAAAGCAACTCAGGGCTGTAATCCCTCAGATTAGTACTGTTTCTCGCTATATGTCACTTGGCTATCACTACGCGGCATCTAAATAAAAGCCGACCTAGAGCATCAAATACCATCACCTACCAATCCACTGATGGATGACATCAGAGAGCCTGTTGTATTTGAGAATGGCGAATAAGATGCTGGTAACGACGCAGGTGAGAATAGAATTGCGCAACCATTGAGATTTTCGAGATCACTGTTCAACAATCGAGATCCTGGACCTTACTCCAGGAGAGCCTACGACTATTTTTAAATCTGGATAATGTTCAAAAGACCCTCCTTGATAATTGGTCGTCCCCTCTGTCGAGGGAAATAACTTTTGAAATCAATTATAGTATTGATTAGGAAGTTCTACAGCTATAGAAGTCATTTTTCTCAGAACACCAATCAATCGAGGACACTTTGACACTCACGGCAACTTTATGATATTCATTGCGTCAAATGTTCAATATGATTCTTCTAAAAGTTTAAAAGCCATCGAATGTGATCTTATGAGGAACGTTGATATGTATCTAGTTTTGAATGACGACATTTGTGGTAGCAGCTCCTCTGAGACGGTTAAATAATACAAAGTTACTTGTGGCCAAGCATTAGGTGAACTCGAACTTACTCTCCAGAGCAGCTGTAGAACCGGCGCGAACAATACTACCAGCATTAACATTTCTGCACTTGTAAAATATGACAAATCAAATTCTTATTTCGGCAATGTCTTGACTATGCTCAGTGTTGGGGCTCTCGACCCAAGACGACCTATGCAAATCGTCTGTTCTAGTGAAGAACACCTGGTATTCAGAACATGCTTTGCCTTTCACGAGTGAGAATGAAAGCTTTGACACTATTTTAGTCCTAAACGGCTTTCGTCCCTTTCCAAAAAATATTAAAAAAATATATATAAAAAAGTGACTCTGATTTCTAGCATGTACTGATTCCTCGCCTGGTTGTTGCTTAGGAATTCTCAGTCAAAAGGCGTTCCCATATTCGGGTTTTACGAACTTCATTCCCTGATATGGCGTTAGTAATTAGATGCCTGAATCTGTTGATGTTTAATACCTTTCTTCATCTTCTCATTCAATCACGGCTGACTTTTCACATTCCTTTCTTCGCTTGCTAGAATTCGGGGTCAATAAAGCTGAGGACTATACCAATGTACTGACTCGCAAGCCCAAGCAAATTAATACGCCCGGTTTCCCTTCCCGGGGTACTCAGGGGGTTAGTACGAGTAACGAGAGTGTAAGAAATTCAGGATTATTGATATTCTATTCGTTCATAAGTTAAAACGACTGGTTTTTCCACTGATATAATAGTATTATCACTATCATTTGAATTCTAAAATCAAAGAGCAGAAAAGGATGGAAGGATTCGAGGCGTCATATTTTGATAATAAATTCATGTTGGAGGTATTATTAATGAAGGGAAAATATCCAAGGCTAAAAGGGAACATAAAATATATACTTGATAGCTTTTTGTACACCTTCATTATCTTATAAGGGTTATGCCATACCTTGATATCAATAATTCTCCCAGCCAAGCATCTTAATATTTCGTGAAAATCTCATATTCTAACTATATACATAAATAGTATTGAAGGTTATAATTTATAGTAATAAGAATAATTATTATTATTATAATAATGGAAGATCTAGTCAATTTAGGTTTTAAGGATAAATCGAATATATATAATAAAAGTTGAATTGAAATCAATTTATAAGAATTACATTTATTTGAAATGAAATTGCTTACTTTTTCTAGATTTTCTTTAAAGAATATTCTAGATTTATATAGTTTATAATGAAATTCTAGTATTTTCTATACTTATAAATAAAATCGATTTAAGTCAAATCTTATAGAATCATTTTAAATAATAAAAAGAAAGTATAATCAATCAGATTTAATCAATTTAATAATAATCTTTTATATACTTCTGTTTGATTCTATTCCGTTCTATTTCATTATAAATTAATTTGATAAGAGATGTTATTATATAATAGTCGGCTCTTCTAAGCGGCCGACTAGTTCCTAGTCGGGGAAAGCAATTGTCCCTGTCCAAATCGAAAAAACACTATAATATTGAATTATATCAATTAAAATTATTAAAAATTATACTAGAATTCATTAAATATTAATCTTTGTTATTTATTCAATATGCGATTTATGTTTGATGACGAAAAACGTAGATATAATGAAGTTATTTAATATTGTTGCTTTTATAATAGATATATAGAGTAATATAGAATTGGGTTTCCAGTAGAATTATATTCTTTTTTTATATAATGAATTTCAATTTGAAGAGGGTGGAGATAATGATAATAAGGGGATTGGGTTAAATATTAAAGATAATGATAACAATAACAATATCGATTTAGGTTATTATTAATAAATATTGTAAAATAACTATATCTTATAATTATAGTAGCTCTTGATTCAAAATAAATCTTGAATATATTAATGTTTTTATTAATAAATCATTTAAAATAATATGTAATATATAGATTTCGAGGATTTGAACGAGGACAATTGCTTTCCCCGACTAGGAACTAGTCGGCCGCTTAGAAGAGCCGACTATTAACTATATAATAATATAATTTTATTATATAAAATCATATTATACATATATTAATTATCAAGATATCTCCTAATTAATAAGATATTAATAAGTGATTTAGTGAACTTATTATGGATTTTCACAAATAGAAACGTGGAACATAATCACGAGCTTGATTTCTGATATTAAAATCGTCAAAAAGAGAGAAAGTTTAAGAATATGAACAAATCCGTCTTCCCCAAGCAAGAAAAAAAGAGTTTTCGCATCGGATAAAGTACATTTCAACATCTGATAGGCTAGACTATGAAAATTGGATGAAATTGATATAGCTTTGGTTGCTTTTAGAGAGGATTGGGATACTAGGTGATAGGTATTGATGCTAACTGCTCTAGGAGAGAGGTAGAATACAATGAAAGAAGTTCTTTTATTGAAGAACTAAGATACTACGATATCAAAGGAGGAAACAGATGAAACTTATAGGGAAGTACGAAAAGATTAAGTCAGTAATAGTAAGATAGAAGAGCTGTTAGTTAGGTATGAAAAGAGGCAACAAATGTTGAAAAATCGATTAAGATTAAATTTTCATTGGGTAGTAAGAAGGACAGAAACTTGAGAGGATGTGAGAGCAAAGATTATCGAAGACTGGGAAAAAATGTCGAAAAACATGAGAGATAAGCTTATTCATTTTGTAGTGAATTCTACAGTATTTTGACACTTGAATTCCCTCACGTTGAAAGATTACTATACCCTTGTACTTGAAGAGCTCATGATACCAAGATAAATCAATAAGCGTGAGTTAGTTATACGCAGTGCAATGTTCCGTCGTCATGTGTATGGCACTCGGTCCCAGCGGGGGCAGCCGCAGTGGGACTAGTCTCGGCTGGGATGATTCTTGTCGGGTTCACAGTCGGCGTCGATACAGTCGATGTAGTTGATTCAGTCGCTGCAGGAGCACTATGTGAATCCACCTCCTTTTCATCACTAGCCTTGCCTACGCATCCCTCGCCAGCAACGGCAATATCATACGCATACGCCTCGGTTGCAAAAAACGTTAACGTAGCACTATTGTGTCCTGCTAGGGTGTAGTTGCTACCAGCTGCGAGCTCTTGAACACCATGGTACCCATCAGCATGGTGATCGACGATTTCTTCGCCAATGAGCGGGACGTGGTAGAGTCTATGCATGAGATCTGGAGCCCAGAAGTCTGCTGGTCTTCCGGCTGCGACGTTAAATCCTCGTGCGCATAGTGCGGTAAGAGGGAGGCGGGTTTGGTAAGAGAGTGGGCATATGACGGTTTCGGCTGTTGCATTTTCACCACGCCAGTGGCCTGCCCATGCTATGAGATGTCAGACGATCTGAGATTGTGAGGATATCTTGCTCTGTATGCGTGTACTCACCATCCTGAGTCTCACAATTTTGGTCAGGATCATCACAACGGAAGATAATGCCAGCGCGGTTACCAGAGGCGATCTTGTCAAACCATCCCATTGGCGTGGCAGTAGGACCTTTGCCGAAATACTTTTGGAAAATCTCGGATTTGTTACCATGGACAAGGACTAAGGATTTTATTAGCACTAATTTGGTACTGGTCATCTTAGGTGGTACTAACTGTGATTCTTCGCATGCTCAGCCATTTCAATCGCTTGTCTCAACCCTTCGCTAAGCTCATGACGCTCCGTTGCATTGCAGGATGGGTGGATCGTGAAGTGAGAGACATAATCGCCCTGCCAGTTATATTTTGGTGCCTGACCAGAAGAGACAACAAGCTCGGAGACCGGATCAGGAAAAACGGCTGCATTTGCGGTGGTAAGAGGGTACGCTAATGCACCAAAAGTATTGATGGAGACAATGAGAAAACTTAAGACGTGCATTTTAAAGTCTAGTTTGACGATGGCAGTATCTAGAGATTGAAGGAGGAAGATTGATAAGGATTTGTGTGAGATGAGTATTGAAATTGAGATTCATATCGTCTTTTAAAGTAGTTACCTCTCCGGGTTCTCACTCATGCTTCATCAGTCTTGGAAACCCACCATTTTTATTGAACATCTAACTTCGTGAACGCCAAGGACTTGGTCTGACTACTGCGAAGAGGAAGAGACTTCAAGATCGATAGACGTACAACCAGATAGGCAGGGACCACGGTGCGTTTGTCAAGCCAAGGCGAAGAACTTTTCAGAGTGCAGACGCCTAGCCCGTCATGCAGGAATGGACGCTTCATAAAGTAGAAGTGAATTCTATATTACACCAAAGTATAATAACGATAAAAGACTTGTAATCTGCAGGTATCATCTTGTCATCGAAGTGGGCCAATCAAAATTCTTAAAAGGGAGGCGGGGTACACAAGTACTCTGTACGTGATTTGTGATTATGTAATCCACAGAAATTTTCCTCCTCGATCATCCTCATGACCCTCCCAAAAAGGCCTTGGCCTCCCCAGAGCTGGGTTGTTATATTTTTTGTCCAGTGCAAAAGTAACTGCTCTGCTGTCGCTTCCAACTCTATATGCTGAAAGAGTCCGGAATGCCTTTCACATAGCCTTTTATTCACAGTGTACCATTTTGAATCTTTGACAATCACGTCGGCCGAGGTTGGATACTTTGAGTGTTCAATAATGAAACGAGGAGAAAGGGAAACGCTTTGCTTCCGTTGGCATTCTGGGAAAAAAGGGGAGTAGAAAGATATCAATCATGTCATCTTGAAGGCCAACCCTGATTCAACCCATCAAGGTTCTCATGCCCAGGTATGCCAAGCTCCATCCGCCATTTAAGCTCATCTTGTCAGCGCCATTCGAATTTTTTATGTGTGCAAGATTGTGAGCCAAGTCGGTCTTTCTCCCCATTTGCTCTATTTATTGTGTAATAATGCTGATGGAACTTTCTCACCATCACTCCTAGCATCAATTAGTGAGCAGCAACTCTCAAATCCATTGTACCTAGCTCTGATAGCAGACTTTCGAATTAAGAACTTTCCGGTCTATTGAGCGATGATTCAATTGATAAGATAAATATTAGACATTGACCGCAAATTGATCTCACATTTAGTTGCCCTTCTTTAATTCATCACTTTGCCAAAGCCCTTTCCCTGGAAGCCTTTTCTCTCTCCTTCATTCTCTTATCTTTACACGCCTTCTTTGTGGTGCCATTCACAAGATGTTCAGTTCCCGATTTTCTATCACTCTCAGAAGTGTGTTGCTGTTTTCATTGCTCGGTGCCATCACATGGGCTCAGATCACGCTCACGGGATGCCATATCCAGGAAGGACAAGAGTGAGTCTTTCGTGTTGCCAATGATAGGTAGCACTGTATTTTAATTGCATACAGAATATGTTTCCTTCCCGGGGGGACCAAAACCACAATTAGCAGCAGCACTTCTACTCCAACTCCAACTCCAACGTCTCCAGCTTCAGTGACCGCGAAGACGACTGGAGTTGTGCAAACTACTGCCATTACTGACTGCCACCAACATGATACTACTCAGTACGTGATAATCTTAGGTCTCAAGATGAGAGAGCTGATCAACTTCCAGGTATTGTGTAAAAGGCAATGGCGAAGAGGTTCAGGTATTAACGACTGCCACTGGTAGTGAATCTCTGCCTACGGCTTACAATGGCTGCCATTCTCACGGCTCTACCATGTTCTGCTTGAGACCCGATGGTGCTGAAGTTGAGGTCTTGGGTTCTACTGGAGAGGTGGCTTCCACTGAACAGGAGAGTTCTGCTGAGTCTGAAGGTGGAGAGAATTGCCACTTCCACGCCGGTGTTGAGTACGTTACCTAATCTTGTCGATCACGTTGCCAAAGTTCTGATCTGTGGTAGGCATTGTGTTGGTGGTTCCGCCGCGGTAACCTGCGAGCGAAAAGATCGCGATTACAATGTCAAACTCCGCATTGGATTGTTGTTTGTCATTCTCTGTACAAGTGCAATCGGTAAGCCCCTCGGCCGGAAAAGTATCTCTTTCTAACAGATATCAGGTGTCTATGCTCCAATTTTTATGGCGCGAGTTCTCAAGACCAATGGAACTGGAATTGTTTTTACCGTTGTTAAGCAATTTGGAACTGGTGTCATCATCGCCACAGCCTTGATCCATGTTCGTCTTTCAATCCTCGCCCGAAGTAGACAGGTTACTGACCATATCTAGCTTGCGACCCACGCGTCATTGATGTTTGGCAACAGGTAAGTAGCTTTTACCTCTGGTTGAAATATAGCAGTACTTATTTCTGCATAGTTGTCTTGGTGAATTGAAATATGAAGCAGCCGCGACCGCTATCATGATGGCTGGTGCATTTATCGCTTTCTTGATCGACTTTACTGGTCATCGACTCGCACATTGGCGCCAGCAATCCACTATAGAAAGACAAACTGCCAGCATCAGCTCTCGGGATAACTCGCGTGACGAAGCAGCAGTAAAAGGCCACCCTACATCTACGCTTGCGCACCTAAGCCACCACCACGACATCAACAATGTTGGGACCACCCACGCAAATGATGGTTTCAGTATTTTCATCCTTGAGGCTGGTATCATTTTCCACTCCCTTCTTATTGGTATCACATTGGTGGTAGCAGGCGACTTAGTCTTCATCACCCTCTTTATCGTCATCGTCTTCCATCAGATGTTTGAAGGGCTTGCTCTTGGCGCCCGGATTGCAGTAATTGATGGTCTTCACACCATCAAGTACATAATCCTTCCAATGGCCTTTACGCTAGTTACTCCAATTGGAATGGCCATTGGAATCGGTGTTATCAACAAATTCAACGGTAATGATCCATCGACCATCGTTGCTCTTGGAACCTTGGATGCCCTTTCTGCTGGTATCCTTACCTGGATCGGCTTCGTCAACATGTGGGCTCATGACTGGATGTATGGCGAGTTGAGAAACGCTGAGTTGACCAAGACTTTAATCGCTTTAGTCAGTCTGATGGGAGGCATGGCGTTGATGGGGCTCCTTGGAAAATGGGCATAAAAAGCGGTGGCTCAGTTATTTTACAGAAACCGTATTCGATTATCTTTTAAAATTGTGCTCAAGTAATCTGTGAGATTAAATTCATCGAAGAGACCACAAGAAAAGTGTTTGAGACTTCTTTCGAAGACAAAATAAGCAGGAATTCATTCTCCCTACTATTATTATGTCTCTGAAATTCAATAAGCACCCGAAAAAGAGTCAGTATGTAATGATAGAAGATTTATAGATGAGCATAGGAATAATGCTAACACTCTAGAAGTCCCCCAGGACTATGAGCTCTTTAGTGGAAAGATTGAAAGTCAATGTGTCACTCCGATTATCTAACTGAAAGTCACTCGCTGATTGACTCTGTCTTTCATGAACGACAATCTATCATCATATCAAATTCAATTTGTGTAGAGCTAGCTGGCTTACTCAGTATTGAACAGCTACTTTCAAACTCAGTCTGCACACCCTTGAAGACCACTTTATATGCATTGGAATAGAAGACATTTAAATACTACCGAAAAAGGATTACTGTCTGAGTACAAGGTCTTATTTTTTCCACACAAACATCAGTTTTTCAGGACTGCTTTTAATTGCTTTTTTCTTTGGCTTCATGAAGGCCGGGGGGGCAATCAAAGCGCTAGAGCCTTTGGAATTGTAGAAACTCTTCTTGATTTGGTCAAGAAGTAACACGTGATGTCAATATGTAGTAGTCCTAGGGGAAAAAAATCCAGTCACTTGTTTCATAACAAGAACTAAAATTGATTCGCGGATACAAATAACTATGCCAGATACACATGGGGTCTATACGATCAATCGTCAAGGTTCCGACTTAAAGAAATATTTTGAACATACTATCAAAACTCGAGTGTCGAAGCGGGACAAGGCAATTTGGTCTCAGTTTTCAAGACTGTAATTAGCAACATAGCTTGGCTGTTCACTGTAGGGTGTATACACCCAATTTCATAACTAGCTTCCGAAACGTGATTTTATAGTATTGCAACTTTTTTGCCAAAAATGATTAATAAAATTCTAATTTTATCAATATAGCTTCAAAATCGAAAGTCTTTTTATCAAATAAAAACAATCAATTATTCAATCATTCTCTACTATATAATATTATGTCTATTCAAATTAAGATTAGATTAATAAAGTTTTTATAAATTGAAATATCGAAATATAATATTTAGATGGCTTTGATAAGATATGGAAAAGTTATGTTTTGGAAGCTAGTTAAGAAACTGGGTATATTGGAGAATTGTTGCTCGAAATCGAATGAACCAATAAAGGTTCGATCGCATCACCTAATCATCCGCTACCCTAGCTTTTGATGCTATACTGTAGAAAAATGCTGTTCTTTCTACTGTCTGCTTCGATATGCACTGCATTCTTCACGAAAACATCAAGAGTGAACATAAAGTTGTCGCTTTCGGAAGCTTGCGATGGCCCATAGAGGAAGAGACTTGGGAATATTATGATCCAGGGGGCCGAGCAATGGCTCCATCAATTGGAAGCTCAACCTCGCGTCATTGAAGTATTATCATCGTCGGCAATGGCTACATTGGCTTTTTCTGTGGGTGTACAAGCATTCGACAAGCGAAACTAATTGTGCAAAAGATAACATTAATAGGATCCGGCATACCACCAAAAACGAAAGGGTCCTTAGTGATATAGTTTACACCTTTCAACTGTCTTGATGAGAGTGATATTGTCGTTGTTGAATGTCTGCAAATATTCGTCATGATACAAGGGGCGCTTGTTTGCACCATTTAAAATGTCAGGGTTTAAGCATCTCCGCTATAGAATCCGTAAATATGTTCTCTACGAAATCGGTTCATTCGTTCAATGTCAATAGTGTAGAAGGGTCTGATGTACATAGCGCTTTTCTCGCTCTTCATCATAACGTCTTTCAATATTCTCTACCTCGAGGCTGCTAACGCCGTGTTTGCGAAGGGTATCGACAGAGAACATTGCGAAGGTTTAATTGTTTCAATACTTCTTATGGATCAGGCAGTGTAATTATGGAGTGTTAGGTTTCAGAATGAGATTTTTCCCAAGAACAACGGGCTAAGAATTGTAATGAGCTGATTGCAACTTATCCAAACAGTCCTACTGTGATTCAACTATTTTGCATCATATGACTGTTATTATTATTTAATTACGTGATATATCTTGCCCATAGCTAGGTCTCAGATAATTGATAAGCTCGCTAGCTGAATTGATGATGTATGCCTATATTGCGATTATTGGATGTGCATAATAGGCCAAGAAGGATAAGTATGTTGTGGACAATTTTTTCTTCTCAACAAGTAGTCTGTTACTGGGTGACGTTGACAATATATTGTTTTGTTTCTTAATTTATACTCCAATCTACCATGATGATGAACCAATGTTCTCCATACATTTCAAGAGTGGTGTCTCTCTAGATTTTATGTAATTTATGCGTCACATCTTCCATTCTCCGTCGAGCTATCAAGTAGTGATCATTCCTGGACCATTTGCCATCGTTCCTGTTTTTATAAGCAGTTGTTCTAGTGAAGCTTCTGCAGCTAACTTTTTACTTTCGAAACCCTGAAGGTAAATTGCAATGTTTAAAGTTATAAAAAAGTGCATACCTCTCTTCCCTTCATCATAGTACACCCGGGTCCCCTCCAGGCATGTTAAAGGCCTAATCCCAGCAATACCTCCACATGTCGGATACAATAGTCTTTAGAAAGCGTTCGAAGTGATATCCCTCGTGATGGGAATATCTTTCGAATCGATGCCTGTACACTTGCTAACAATTGGTGCATTAGCTTTCCGAGAGTTTCATGTGAGGCCACTGATCGTAGTATCAACATTGTTGGCATTTTGACTTGTATCTAATTAGCTTGTCGTATCCACCACTGTTGCTAACGATTGAATTCCTGTCTTTGTCTCTGTGTGTTCGGTACTTAGCCTTTGATGCTTGATGAATACACTAGCTACCATGGCCACAGCCGCCAAGCACGTATACAATATAAACATATTCCTGAGACTCCATGCAAAAGCTTCTAAGATCACCCGACGTTGAACAGCATCTTGAATTAACTGCGGAATACCCACGTTTGCCGCTGCCTGGCTACCTGACAAAGCCTCGATAACAGATTCACTGAGACCAGCGGAAGCAAGGGATGATTGTCGTGCATCCATGCTATTTTGAAATACCACACCACCGACCACGATAGACAACGCCATTGCGATGTTACGGACGAAACCTAAGGAAGCTGTGGCTGCGGCAGTGTCGACCTGGCTAACAGTGTTCTGGATAGCAACCATAGGAGCCTGGAAGAGAAGAGAGGGGCCAAAAGCACCAACAGTTTCCAACCCAATGACGACTGCAACGGATGTATCGGCTCCGAAATATATGTACAGCCCTGTTCCTAACGTCATAAGGATCGTTCCTGCCCACATGAACTCCCTATAGCGGCCTGTGCGGTGGATAGTAGCACCAGCCATGATCTCAAGGACGGCTTGTATTACTATCAGTGGTAGCAACAAAACACCACTACGAAGAGGTGACACTTGTAGTACGCTTTGAAAGTATAATGGCAGATAATATTCAATGCCTATTAGAACCATGCTATGGGCAAACACAACTATAAAAGTCGCATTATTGGACGACTTTGTAAACACTGCTAGTGGCATCAGGGGATACTTGGCAAGTCTTTTCTCGCTAAAAAGAAAGAACCCGATCATTAGTGTTCCAAACACTATCAAGCAGATGACTTTCGGGCTATCCCAGGGAAACACTGCACCACCGAAGTCGAGTCCGACAAGAATGAGGAGGGTTACTGCTAGAATGGAGATTGTTCCGAACCAGTCGACAGCTCGAACGCCTTCAATTATTTTTGTGCGTGGGTTGTGCACATCAAGCAAAAGGAATAGGAGAACGAAGGTTACTCCCGAAATGGGAAGATTGATCCAGAAGCACCACCTCCAGCTCTTATACTGAACAAAAGCCCCCCCGATCAGCGGACCAGCTGATCCGGCGACTGCCCACACGAATCCAACGAATCCTAAGTATAACGATCGTTTCCGTACACTAAAAAGATCTGAAATCGTGATGATCACCACTTGTCCTAGGCCACCACAAGCGACGCCTTGTAATGAACGTCCAGCGATCAGCATTGTCATGTTGATACTCAGCGCCACAAGTATACTCGAGGCTGCGAACAAGCCAATTGCCACGAGAAGCACGGGCTTGCGGCCCCAGATATCGCTGAATTTTGCCCAGATTGGGCCTGTAGCGGCGTTGGCGAGCAGGTAGGCCCCACCAATCCAAACATAGCCAGAAGCAGAATGCAAATCAGCACAGATTGTGGGAATAGCTATTGAGACTATTGTCTGATCAAGAGCAGCTAGGCCAAGTGCGAGCTACAAGGTATCGTCAGCTAGGCAGTAGTGGTTGAAACTAGAGTGGGTAGAGTCACATATAGAGCTAGTAAGATAGCGTACAGACGCAGCTTCGTGCGAACTTTTGGCCCTTCTACCAAATCGAGGGGCGTGAATGGGTCGTCGTTAGAAAATATCCCCGGTGATGAAATATGTCCGGCTCCGGACAAAGCAACATGTGCTGATGAAGGATCGGTGGTCGCGTTAATGTCCATGATCATTTGATAAATAATGCAGAATGATGTTCTGAAAACAAGAGGGTATATTTTAGTGATGTTCTTATAGAGATTGGTGGTGGAGCAGGGATAGCTAGGACCCCAGTAGCTACTGAAGTACTTAACCCGTTGTGACTCACCGGTGGGATTTATCCAATTTACCCGTGGAAATGTGAATGCTTTCTGGAATAAGCAACTGCTAGGATCTAGCTAAAAAGTAACTATTAGTACCATTCGAATGATTCATACCCGACTCATATAAACAGTTTCTCAAGAAACCTCTGACTAATATCAATGCAACTGCAAGTGTGCTTATAATGCAATATTCAGCGAAGTCTAGTTTCATATCAGGCCTGAGCGACAACTAAGGCATTTTTCAAATATGAC